TAATTTCGCATCCAGTTCAGAACGTTGCGATCTATGTCTATCATAGCCAATTTGTGCACCAAAAGCTGATGTGGAACCGTGTCGAAAGCTTTGCGGAAGTCTAAGAATACGCAGCCAATATATTTCTTGTTATCTAATGATCTGGATATCTGATGATAAAATTCTACCAACTGTATTTTGCCAGAATACCCGCTACAAAAACCGTGCTATGAGGGGGAAAAGAAGTGTCTCGAACCCAGGAAGGAGTAAAGATTCCTATAAATAATTTATTCAAAAAGTTTGCATTGCATTGATGTTATTCAAATAGGACGGTACTTTTCAACATTGGCTTTAGATCCGGGTGTGAAAGCAGGTGCGACGTTTCCCATCGTCCAATCCATCGGAACCATCCTGGTCTTCAAAGATTCACTGAATATAACACAAAGATATCGTGCTACAGATTCGCTACACTGAAGAAAGATAACAGGAGAAATACCATCAGGTCCGACGGCTTTGGTAGCATCAATTCCGCGCAGCAACTTCACGATACCGTTCAAGTCGATTGTAATCTACCCCAGTCTCAGGTATATTCAACATGGTTAACATCCACCAGCTCGCCTGCACCCTTACTATTGTATCTCTGTAATTTTGTACGCTCTGCACTGTAAAGTTGTCAGAACTTGTAGCGGTAGCATCCCACAGTTCTCAGTATGCACTCTTGAGTATCAGTGTAAGGTCATATATTATCCTGGCAGTAGTTCAATCTTGTCTTTCGCAATTTAGCCTTTTTTTTTCTTTTTTTTTTTTTTGAGACGAGGTTATACCCGGGGCCAACTTTTTTTCTGGCATTTCCGAAGAAGAACGAGAGGAGCAACGTTCCTCGCTCCTCTGGTTCTTCGTTCGTCCCCGAGAGGGCGAGCGGCGGGCTGGAGTTGCGAATAGTTCGTGTGACATTCTCGAAGCTAAAGCGGCCAAACTGCGGCTCCGTCTTCTTTTTTTTTTTTTTTTGCGTGTGCTTTTTTGCTTTGCGTGACGTTTTGCCCGGGTGTCCTCAGCTGTCCGTTTATGGCCGGGGTCGGTTTTGTTTTCGGACATTTCGAGGGAAGCAAGTTTTTCCGGCAGTTTTGCGGTTACAGATTCCCCCCACCCCAGAGAGTATGTACTGCGGGCTTCTCAAATAACAGGGGGCGCGCAACGCCTTGGCGAAAACACGGCTGGGTCTGGGACGCGGGGAAGAAGAGGAATAAAAGGGCGGCCGAAAACGCCGGGGGGCTTCGAGTCCAGCCATGGCGGGGGACTCAACTTTTATGGCCCTGTCCCCAGAAGGCGAGAAGTGTCGAGGAGACTCGGAAGACTGACCGCGAAATTTGTGTCCCCACGAAAGCCATCTTCCATATTTGCCATATTTGCTCGAAAGTAGGTCGACCTTTTTTAGGAGCTGAGCCCGAGGGCCCTCTCCCCATCTTCAGAATAACAAATTTGTTCTTCCTTGATCGGCGTGGTTGTTCCGGACTCCGAACCACTTCGTTTCCAGGGCATTATAGGAGGCCCTTCACAATCACAACAATGATCTTAAAATCCTCTGTCAAAAACTAAAAAAAAAGAAAAAAAGTTGCGTTTATTATGCACGCTGTCGTCGAAATGGTCGTTTAAGGTCGGGAACGTCCGCTGTCCACATCAGTGGCGTCACTAAAACAAAAAAAGGGGGGGGGGGGGGGGGGGGGGGGGGAGTGTCGCGGCGGGCCATTGCCCCGGGTGACGCTGACCCTAGTGATGCCACTGGTCCGCATAGAATAAATGGTATACAAAGAGTAGCCGCCTCGGTGGCTCCGAGGCGAGAGCGCCGGCCTACGGATCCCCATGTGGCGGGCTCGAATCCCGGCCCACCTCGGCCGGGATTCGGCCCGCAATCTGACGGAGGCTTATTGCGGAGAAGGCGCCGTGTAACCGAGCTTTCGGTTGCACGTCAAAAGATGTTCAGGTGGTCGAAATTTAATCCTCAGTCCTCCGCTGAGGCGTGCCAGATGCCCGTCGTTGGTTTGGCACGTAAAACCCCCAAATTTTACATTGTATACAAAGAGTAGTTGGTTGACGTCAGTGCCGTTGTTTTGCGGTTTCTTTCAGCACTTTGAAAATAAAACCCTCCTAACCGCTAATCCGGCAAAAGAAACACACACACAAAAAGAAAACAAAAAAACAACAATACCCATTTCTGAAGGTAATGCTTTGTCAGCTCTCTGACTGGTTAGGAGGTGACATATAGGAAAATAAACTCAGACCACAATTTAATACGCAAGTCATTTTCGCAAACTCGTAGCCTCGTCTGGAATTTATTTCCGCTGTGTAAAAAATCCTCGCACGACGAAAAAAAAAAAAAAGTAATCGATCATTTGTAGGTTATTACATAATAATGTAGGGGTGTGCGAGTACCGAATAACTGTAATCAAATCAAATATCGACCCCAATCAAGGAAACAAGTAAAATAGGCTTAATTCTAAATTTATTTTGCACAAGATCAAGTGTTTCCTAATTCTCGTGCGAAAATAGCAGTGGATGTGCATGATCTGGGGTCAACTTCTCCTTCCCAATCATAACAATGTTGCCAAACGTAAAAAAAAACTGCTCTACAACGATGTTTATACGGTTTTTCAGCAAATGTTTCCCAAAATTCCTAACAATAAAGTCGTTAAAAAAGTTTTAAAATTAACTTTCAGTCGTAAGAGACTCCAAAGTGAGAAAAAAAAAAAAAAAAAGATCGCTGTAATTAAATAAAATGTGCTAATTAACTTTCTAATGAGCGACTTTTAGTTTCATGTTGCAATTATAATTTTGAAGGCTACCACCATGGAAGGCTAAAGAAATTTAGGGAAAGTAAAAAAGTGCAAGCACTTACGGCACCCGTAAGGTGAAACACAGCGACAGCTGAGGCGTGACGTCGGAGCCGCTAAGGTGTCATTTCGGAGCGCGCACCATAGAGTCTGCATAGGCGTTTTCGTGTTAACCCGAGGAACACACCGGACGAAGATTACATAACGTTTTGGAACCAATGAGGGTGTATTAAGTAGAGTGCATTTCAGCGGCCTGCGTAAGAGGGGAGCCTGTTTTCGTACGTCACTTTGGTACCAATAGTCAACGAAAAGTGCCAAATAAACAGGGACAGGGAAGTAGACAAGACGAAGTGCACTCTCAAATGAAGGTTTATTAAATTACGGTCAATGCGCAGGCGAGTTGGAGGAAGTATACCGGGATGATATTAACCCGAGACTGGGGCAGAAGTAGGAAATTATTTTCAGAGACGCTGTCTGTCTCTGTTACTTTCTCTTGTAGTGAAAAGAATTTCCTTCTCCTGCCCAGTCTCGGGCAGGAGAAATGCATGGTAAAATTTTAAGGCAGTTTTATCTGCGTATCTCCCGAGAATTATTTGTGCCAATTCTGGGTCACGTGGGCACCTATCCCAGTGCACTGCCCGATTGTCTGCCGGGGGTCATGACCGTGCATGTTATACTGCTACCATGCATGACCATGCATGTTCTCTTACTTGCTTGTTATCTTGTTTTCAGCGATCCGTGGAATGTTTTGGCGGAGTGCCGAAAATGGCCCGCGTCGATATGGAGCGCGGTCGACGGCGCGAAACTAGGCGAAGGGTCCCACTAACAGCTATCACTGTAATATAGCTGTAAACGAAGCAACCGGCTTGGAGATATTCGCAAACGAACTTAGCGCTGTATATGGATATGATTTCCGAAATCTGATATCCACTGCACGCAACTGTCTTACAAACCCATTACAGTGCAAAGTTTGGCGGTGAATATCTCCGAGCCGGTTACTTCTTTTTGCTTCCGGTAAATTGTTTTGGCCTATTATGGTGGTAGCCTTCCAAAATCTAATTGCAACATGGACATATAAGTCACGAATTAGAAAGTTAAGTAGCAAATTCGAGTTAATTAGATAGCGATTCTTTTATCTCCTTTGCAATTCCTGGCGTCCCCCACAGATGGAAATTGGTTTCCATTATTTGTTTTTTCAACGACCCTATTGTTACCAATTTTTTAAAGCTTTCTTTGAAACACCCGGTATAAAAAGTAAGGACTTGTGCTTGCGAAAAATAAAGCGTGGTGCATGCGTTTTACGTGCTTTTTTTTTTTTTTTTTGCCCTTTAAAGAAAGCCTGTGACAATGAAAGTAAGTCCATGATGGGGCGGGCGCCTTATCACGGGGTATTTTGTCATGTTTCATTGCAGGCACGTAGCCAAGGGGGGAGGGGGGGGGGGGGTAAGAACATGTCGCCCCCCCCCCCCCCCCCCCCCGAAATTTTGGTTGGAAGGGGGGGTGGGGACGACTTCGCAAATGTCAAGCGGAAGGCTTTTTTTTTTTTTTTTTCTTGCTTTTTGCAAACACGTTGATACACCTTCAGATTCAACGCTGATGTAGTTTTCGCATGCAAATCATCGAGACTGTAAGATCTGTGCTAGTCGGTAACAGAGGGGTGCTCCCGCCGCCCCAAGAGACATGCTAACAGGCTCACCACGTGCAAGACTGAGCAGATCTTTCCATGCCCATATCCTTCGGCGCTGAATACCTCGGCCAAACGGGTCGCTGCGTAAATGACCTGCTCCGGGAGCACCACAAAGCTGTAGAGGACGCCGCAGCCAACAGCACCCGAGAGACACGCAAAGACGGGAATGTCGCGGCTGCGCTCCCGGCTCTGCCGCCACAACCACGCTGGCAAATCTTCGTGACTGGGTCGGGAGGGGAAAAGTCTTTCGAATGGTGACGAGCCCACAAATCATAGGCTCACCGTCTCTTTTGCTCTGAAAGACCTCGGGGCCCCGGCGGCATGATGCCCTTTTATCCCTAAATGTTGGGTAGTGCCCAGACCGTGGGCAGTGCCCAGTCTATGGAGCAGACGACGTGCCGGGGTGAGAGATGAGAGGGTATTTTTTAACTCTCCGCTCTTTTTAGTTTAGCGAACGCTGGAGAGGAGAGTCATCGTGTTCCAAGAAAAGAAAAGAAGTCTCAATATCTTCGTCACAGTTTATTGTATAAATGGTTAGTATTCACATGAACCCGTAAAGATATGCATTAATGAAGCGTGATATATTCGTCAAACGCAAAGCGCCCGCGTTAGGAACTTTAGGATATGTACAGTTGATATCTGACAGATACATATATACATATTGTATATATGTGTATATATATACGGATATATATATTATGGCTATGTACGACGCGAGTTTCAACAAAAGCGAGCTAGGTGGAGAGCTTAACTCTGAGATGCGACGGTGATATGAAGATGTTCGATGATGTCTCGCAAATGAACTGTGTAGAGGCGAGACGGTTGAGCAAAACGATGGCGACGGTTGGTGATGTAGTGAGCGTTGCGTAGCAATCTACCTTTCTCAGAAGTAGCGGTTTTTGGGGGGAGCTCCATCTAGGTCATGGTCGCTAGCTCACCGGAGCCAAGGAGGGTACACCAGCTCGCTTGCCTGGGGTCAGAGAGCGCGCGTTATCCTCTCGAACTGCTAAGTAGAAAAATGGCCAGTTGTTTTCTTTTTCCTCGAACAGGCGGGTTCCCCCTCTTGGGCTTACACCTTACAAGTTTGGGGTCTCTGTCACGTGCCGAGGGAACTTCGAAGCACGAGAGAAGGAGACTCCATCGATGCACATGGCAGCGAAGAAAAATGTGTTGCCTACGTCCAGATCGGCTCAATTAATCTGACATGGCTTTTCGGGTAACGTATTTGTTCAAGGTCCCGTAAAGTTAAAAAAAAAAAGGACGCCCCGCCGACGTTCTCCGCCTTAATCTATATAATTAAGCGACCTGAGGCTGGGTAAGTCATGGCGCCACCGGAACCATACCGGTGGCGCTGTACTAACTGTAAATGATGCTACTCGACAAGTTCCCACAAAAAACGTCTACGGCGTCTCTACGCTAAGGTTTCGTGCAAGTTGAGCGTTCCTTCTTCGCAGTGACGAATGCAGCCGGGCGCAGTTGGCTCCGCGCTCCCATTGATTGAAGACGTGTGTGGTCCTGAAATGTACAGGAGACACTCGTTAATTCTTTCTTTTATAAATGATGAAATTAGTCTAATTACTCGTTTATTTGTCTTCCGCTATTTCCGATGGACACACAGAAGTTTGACTTCAAGTTTCATGACACGACGCGCTGCGGTGGCGCTGCTGTCGGCACTGCGCGTGCGCAGACGCTTTATCTCACGCAAATCTGGTTTCTGCGCACAGTGGGCAAGCGCAGGCTTGTTTACAGGGCGGTGGAAGCGACGTGTTCGATTGACCCAGGTGGTTTGGTGGGTAACCCCATATATATAATTTTTTTTTTCTTCTGTTTTACTTTACTTTTGTTGTATATCTCCAAAACTGTTGCGAAGGTACGTTTTTACCCCTCCTGCCGCAAAACTACGGCGACGGCACTGCGTGAAAGGCACGGGATTAGTCACTCAAACTGCATTGCGTAAAGACGTTGCAACGAGGCTAAAGCCGCGGCTACACCAATGGCCACACTGCTAATACTACATCATACAAGAGAGAGTCTGATAGCATCTTCGATCAACTCGCACCGGAATCGCCCTGAAACCAGCACAGTGCACGCAGTGCACAGCGCTCCTCGGTCGTGCAGCGCGATGTCGGTGCAACATCGAGGACAAACTGCGCCGCGCCGGTGCACCGCGGCTGCCGCGGCGAGCTCCACCTTGCGTCACTTCGCGTTTTGTTCGTTTATTTTGCGTAGGTCAGCACACGGTGACCGTCTGCTGTCAATTTCTTCTATTTTTTTACTCGCGGATTTGACGGTCCCACAGAAATAAACATCGTGGACGTGATTGTCGATGGGGTCACGAAGCGGGTGACAATTCCAAATGTATATGTTGGCCATCATTATTAGTTCAAGAAAACGAAACACCAGATAATAGCCGTACCTCGCTGTCATCGAAACGCCTCGCGCCGCTTTCCACGAAGTTCGTGCTCTTCGGGCGCTCCTTGCCACCGCAGCAATGGCCAGTAATCGCGGCGATGGTGAGAAGCTCGTCGTCTCGCCGTCAGAAGACCCGAGGAAATCATCTAGTGCAGCTGCGAGGCGTGTTCGTTTTTGCAAGATCGCCATCTCGATAGTCTGCGCGTCTGCTACTCCCGCCATCTTCTCGATTCCTACTCCTGGCCGCAATGCCTGATGGGACTGCACCCCGGCGCACCGCCGATTTTCTTGGTGCGCGTTGGGGCAACGAAAAGCCGCACCGGGAGGGTGCGCTTCGTTGATCGAGGACGTACGGTGCGCATTGGTGCACTTGATCGAAGATGAAGGGGCGCACCTCAGTGCCCCGGTGCGCACCGGTGCGGGTGATCGAGGATGCTATGAAGCATACGACTCGTACGCTAGTCATTACAAATAACTAAATTAATTGTAATTGCTTTTTTTAGTAATTTTGTAATCATGTAATTACTTTTATTAGGTAGTAATCACGAGAGTAATTTGGTTACTTTTAGCAGTAATTGCTTGCAACCATTAATTTTTTTTTCTTCAACGTCCGAGTTTGGATTAGAACTGCTGTGATAGGGCCACTTTGTCAGCTTCCAAATCTTGCGAATAAGGAATGAAACGACTGTTACCGAACTGTACGATAAGAGGCCAGGCTCTTTGTCTGGTCAGTTTATAAAGCGGTTTGTTGGGTTTCAAGCTGGGACTGTGAAGTCTGAGTGCTCGATAAAAGGAACCGAGTCTCTATTCACCCACCAAACAATACACCCTCCCCTTTTTTCCGTATTAAAAAAAAAAGAAAAAAAAATCTCCGTTTTAAAGCCAGATAGCGTCACTGTCAGGTGCGACAAAAAAAAACAAAAAAAAACGTAATCTCTCTGTCACGTGCAAGATAAGTGGTGGGCATTCCCCAAGATTGCACCACTTCCCGAATTCAAGTGTTGAGCGTGTGGAGGGAGCTACGTGCCCGCCGGTCCAATCAGCCGTGTCCCTTCCATCACATGACCCGGCTCTCTGCGCGTGGGTACGGGCGAAAACGTGATCACGTGGCGAAAGAAAGGCGTACGACTGTTTCAAGGACCCCACGTACGTAGCTTCCACCGTACTGTCAGCCTGGAGGTGAACGCAGCTTAGGTCCTGTTTGTTCCATTTAGCCACTGTGACCTAGATTGAGCTCATCGTTCGCCCCAAGCTCGCAGAAAGAAGCTCCCCCCCTTTTTCCTAATCCGACCTGTCTTTGTTTACCTAAGTTTCCTACCATAGAATACTAACCCTACAACCGGATGGTCTACCGGAAGTGGTGGGTTGAGAAAGTGAGTAATTTACAATGCGGCGATGCTTATCCCACAATGGACAGTACGAAAAGCCCTTTTCGAAACCCTCAGAAATATCTGCCGTTTTGAAAATCTGAAGTAATCGGAAAAGTAAAGGTTCCTTTTTCAATTAATCTTTTAATTGAATACTTTGTGATCGAAAGCAATTGTAATTGTAGTCTATTAGCTTTTTTGAGGAACGGATACAAAACTGGGCCGAGGCGTGTTTCTTTTTTTTTTTTCTGTATGACGTCACAGAAAAGCGGTTTGACGTTCGTATTACATGAGTACGAAGTAAAAACGCTTCTAAGATGCCTGAGGCCTGTCCGCAGATGTCATCAATGTCTGCAGCGAACCCGAGAGGAAGCAAATGGACCAATACCCGCGCAGTTGGCACGCGTCGGCATTTAGATGGAAGTGGTCCGGTCGGCCACCACCTCCTTGTTGGCCAGCTTGGCCATGGCGGTGATCTGGGCCTTGTCCAGCTCTTCGGTCGTGATGGGCGGCGCCTGGAACACGTTCTCGTAGATGACGGCCGCGATGATGCCGCCCAGGATCGGGCCCACCCAGAACACCTGCATTGCCATGGACAGCGGCGCCTCGTGAGTCAATGGCAGAGCAAGAAGCGTGTGGCAACGTGTCCAATCTGTACCGGGCGCTTGACTGAGGCGGATAAAGTAGATAATTAAATGCACAGGCGCCGCGTTAGGTAAACAAGCACCGTGGAAAACGAGACGAACAATATCCTTTCGGAGGACAGTGCACCTGTCCGTTGTGCCCCGGGGGCCTGTTCAGAACCTTTTCACCTGCGTGAGCGTCGAAGGTGCGTGTGGTCCGCGCGTGCGTGCAGTACACACTCGAAGGTCGCCGATTGTGTTGCACCTCGAGGCGCCTTTAGTTGTCGCGCGGACAAATCAGCGACGTTGGCGACGGTACTCGTTCCCGCAGACTCGTTTCACGGTGGCATGCATGGATCCATCACTAAACGAGATATTTGGAGGTGCACCGGCGAACTATGCCCGGCGCTGCCAGCGGACACCTGGGGTACGGCGCCAGCGTGTCGCCGACTTGGCTTGAGAAGGATTAGAAAGAAGAAAAGACTCAAATCGGCGGGCGGTGGAGTTTCTTCGAAGGGGGGGGGAGGGGGGGGGGGGGGGGGGGCACTAACCAAGATAAACGAGGACGCGACTTCCTGCTTTGGTTGGCCTTCTGCGGCGGAGATGCGAATCGCGTAGCCCGCGACGCCGAAATCCGCGCGCGCGGGTCTTTGTGGCTCGCTTACAGCTCTGGTGATTTTTCGTGACACTTGTCAGGCGCGGCGTGACAGCGTCGCCCTTGAACGGCGCCTTGCTCAATTTGTGAATTTTCAAGGGTGCGGGGACGGGTCCCGAGCAGTGCTTGGTGTCCTCCGTTTTCACTTTTCCCCGGCAAGTGGTTTAGGTTGGTTCGTTGTCGTCTCCGGAATCGGGATGTTTGTTCGGATATGTTTGTAAAAGATTGGTTTTAAACAGAACGAATAGAAATGGCGAAGCACAGACAAGGACGAGGACGCGTCCTTGTCCGTGTTTTGTTACTTTTTTTTTTTTTTCTGTGTGAAATGAATATTTGTACGTTCGTCTGGACACTTGGTGAGGGATTGCTACGAGAGATGACGCACGTGATGGACCAATTAGCCGGTATCTCTTTTTGTGGTAGATTTTAGTTTAAGCAGTAGGAAGAAGGAAAATACTTAATACTCGAGGGAAAAATAAAGGTACGAGGTGTGGCAAAATTAAGTATCTTGCGCGACTTCAAAGGGTCAACGAGGTAATGAAGGGGAAAATACATAATGAGGGGCATTGCGAAAACCGTAAGAAAAGCGAACAAAAAATGTACAAGTGGCTGTTTCTGTCAACAACCCGCCTCCATCATTTGGGGAATCGAATTACGTATATTATGTAGTGGCCCGAGTTATCGCAAAGAAAGCGTTGGCATGTATTACTATGATTATTGTTTATTCGAGTTGGAAAGAGGGTGCTGGAGGATGTGCAAGCTGAAGTTTCAAAAGAACTTTCGCAGCGACAAAGCAGCTTCGCAGAGCCAACAGGGCGCCCGGCAACGAAGAAGGAAGAACGAGTATGTTGCTCAGGCCGGACGGGGGCGCCCGCGCCAAACCGGCCTGCGGCGTTCTGCCCGCCGTGTTAGTGGCGCCATCTGACGGAAAAAGATGAAACTAAAACCACCTTCACGGTTTCTTGCTTGGGGTTTCCTTTTTATGATTTATTTTTATTAGAAGAGAGAAAAAAAAAAAAAAGGGGGGGGGGGGAGGAGGGGGGGAGAGAGAGAGAGCAGTGGCCAGCAGTGGCGTCACCAGGGCCACCGGTACCCGGGGCAGTGGGCCGCCACCCCGTTAAAAATTTGTATTTCCTCCCATTAGGCTTACTTTGCCAAGTTATGACTTTTTCTTTGTTAAAAAAAAAAATCTCGGCATTTGGAATACTTATTTGACGGTCCTTCACGGCAGGCAGTGAGTTCAAAGGAAGTAAAAATAAACATATAAGATTTGACGGATCGTCTATGACAAGGGCGAGATACACGAACTGAATGTAGCAATGAAGTCAAAGCTGTGAGAGGCTGGTCCGGCTGGGCGCTCGCGAATTTCGAGCGCCGAACAGGGACTTGTGAAATGCCATGAAATTAAACGATACGACGCACGTGCAAAGGCGTCGGCGGAGTATTAGGTATAGTTATCAAAGGTATCGGAACGATCTACAACCTAACGATACGCGATTACGAAACGATGCATGGCGCAAAGGTGTCGCCGGAGTATCGGGTATCGTTATCGAACGATCTACTAAAGCTCGGTCGTTCCGATGACTCCGAAAACGATACCCCGCCGCCGCCTTTGCACGCACATCTTATCGTTATTGGGTATACAGTTATCGGAGGTATCAGGAAGGTCTACTAAAACTCCGGACCAAGAACAATGCCTCGTGGCAGAGCACCAGCCGCGTTAGCAGGAGGTCGTTGGTTCGCAATCCCGGCATCGCAACACAAAACGTTTTTTTTTTCTCGCATTTTACAATTTACTGTGGCATTTTAGAAGTCTTTGATCGGCGCTCGAGGTTCCCGAGTGCCCAGGCTGTCACAGTTTTGACTCGTTATCGGGGGGAGGTATCGGAACAATCTACTAAAAGTCCAATGATCGGAGGAGAGCTCTTAGTGCCTGTAGCGACGGTAGTCTCGGAGGGCACGGAGCAACCTCGTTGGCACGGAGCGACCTTCGGAGGCCATGGAGCGACCCTTGTTTGGGAATATTGACGCAAGATGGCGCAACCTGGCTTACGGTCGGTGGTCGGTCGGTCGCCCGCGCTTTGAGGAACTAAGCGCGAATCCTCCAATGAAATAGTCTTGCCTTTTATCGCGCCTCAGCTTTACGAACACACGTGCAACTGGAGCAGGGGTCAGCGTTTTCAGTCGTCAGTGCCGGTTTCGGCGCTCCCGTTGTCGTTTTGGGCAGTAAATGCTAGCTCGCGCTTGAAGGAGCATAAGGAATGGCAATAAAAAAGCGGACTTAAAACCACTTAACTCGGATTCATCACACCTGCGACAGCGCACTCAAAATACTGCCAATTTGAATAGTTCGACACTACAGTAACCCATCGGTCTCAGAGAGAAGCGGGGAATGGTATTGCTTTAATAATAAATACCACAATCAAATGCGATAGGTCCGGGATGGCAAGACTGGGGCATGCGGCTCTTTGTGGGTCAAAGTGCGACTGACTCCAGTAAACTCTTTGTGCGAGATCGATTTGTTTTGGAGTAAAATAAATATAAAACTTCTTTATATATATTTTTTCTTTCTCTCTCTCTCTCTTTCTCTCTCTCTCTCTCTCGTTCTTTGCACGTTGTAGTGCGAGAAACTAGGGACATAGTGTGAGTTCTATTTGCACCACGCTCCCGCTCCCCGCAGTGTTCAGAGTGGGGCATTAGATCAGCTGGAACGCTTCACTCTTTCAGCATCCCGGTGTTCAAACAGAAACCCGCTTCCTCGTATCCTGCGCAAGCAGCTGCGCTCGTTATCTACGCGAATTTATACCGCTGGAACTGATCCGAGTAGCGCACCTGTGCCATTTTTGATCCTGGCGGGCGGCGGAAAGTTACGAGGGGCGTACCAGATTGATTTGCACTTTATTTACTTTATTTATTCCGATGCAGGCACCGGCCATTTAGACGTCGGTAGACACGCCGGTGGCGAAGAATGCTCTTGCGCCACCGGCGTGGCAGCCTTTCCATGCACTACCGGAACCACTGTTTGGAAGTGCGTCACACTCACACCCGGCTTCCAGCTCATCACTAACCGGGCGAGGGCGTCCTCGTAATGATGTTTTTTCATGACCTCGAACAGATGACGATCACTGGGGACCAGGTCGGGCCGTACACATGCACGACCTAACGTCCGAGGGATTGTGCGACGCGTCGGAAAGGGTGACCGAACACGACTCGATGCCGGCCAATCACGGCGTTGCGTGCGTTGAGGTCCGGTGATTGGCCGGCGTCTGTTGACGTGTAGAACAGTAGTGTCGATTTTAGCGGCGGCTTACTTACCCAGTGGTCATCAAAGATGCCAGACATCACGGCAGGCCCGAACGACCTTGCCACGTTCATACCGGCTCCGGTGTAGCGCACCTGGAAGTAATTGGAATAAAAATTAAATAAATTTTAGAACGCGATGATAATCCGCGTTTGGCCACTGCTAGCTTCGCGCCTGCTGCACGAGTGGGAACTTTGGTGCAACACCGAGTTTCCCACGAGCTTCAAGTTGTTCTAAAATTGACTGACATAGTGGTTTTCGAATGTTTACTCTAAGAAATGTTTGTGCGTCTACTTTCACGCACAACACTCGGAGAGCCAATCACCGCAACTTACGGAGGCAGCTCAGCGAATGACAATGCCGAAACATATGTTTAGACCCAAAAACGCAGTCTGAGTTGTGACATTAAGCAATGCAAGCGTGACGTTTTGCATTGCTTAATGTCACCAAGCACCAAGGAGAAGGCTGGAAAAGTAAGTACGCGCGCTGCACGCGCTCGTCTTGTCAGCGTAAAAAATCAGAAGTCTATAATCAAGATAAGGCATTGACGAGCGAACTTGCAAAATGCCGCTTGCTCTAGGTTTTTTTCTTTCCTTCTTCTTCTTCTTTAGAACAGGTACTATTGCAGACGTAAGCGCTTTCAGCGCGTCAAACTCCGCTCGTAGCATTATCCTCAATGCTTGGGTAATTTAACGAAAGTTCTATCCATGCCTCGCACGTATCTGCGTTGCATAAGAAAATCAAAAGCGTTACTCAAGTTACGGAGTTTTCAATCGCCGTGCCTGATTTCAAATACGTCGAACTAAAAATAATCATTTGCCGGCAATCCTACATTTTTTTTTTGTCCTTAGACGCTGCTTTTTTCACTACGCCTGTTGCACATTCGATCGACAAGTGATAACGTAATGCTGTGCGTATGTGGACAGGAATTGTTCGCACGTGAGCTCCGAAGAGACGGGCTTCCCCACATTCCTTGGCGACACTCCGCGTCCTTCCACGGTCGCGCGACGGAGAGGTCTACGCCGAAAAATCACCCACGCGTGAATCGCCTTGGCCGAGCGAACAAGAAGAAGTGGGGTGCGACTGACGCAAGAACGATCATCTAATTCGCGAGAATCGCGAGGTCCCCCCTTTTTCCTGTCTGCTTCCGCTGTGTCAGCTTCGTTATCGGCCTTGTTACGGCGCGGACGCATATATTATCGGCATTCTATTGGTTGCCATCCAAATGCGGAGCGATCGTTCGTTCCGTTGCGCAATTCGCTTACAACCTACGTAAACAACAATTAGTCGGACTTCGAGGTCGATCGTAATCGCCGCGTCGTCTCTTCTTTCCCTTCTTTTCGTGGCCACTGTCCGAAAGTTGCACATTTTACTCCACGCGCATAGCAAGTTATGTCACGTACTCGCCATAAATCGAATGCGTCCATGAACGTTATCAACGCGCTTCGCCCTCCGCTAGCAAATTCCTTACAAGAAAGTCACATGAATGGGTTCGAGGCACAGCGCCAGCGTCTGGCGTTCGGCATTCGACAGCGTTCGAACAGCGAGTACAGACGAAGGACGAAGCCATAGCTTTGCGTCTACCCCACTAATCCTTCCAACCAGAGCACGGTGTTCCGACGTCTCCGCGAGCTCTAATCTCCTCCTTTCCCTCTCAATTAGATTTTCGGGTAGTCTATGGTTGATCTTCAGTCTTTCGCTAGGGCTTTTCAGATTCCCGTCATTGGAAGTACCCAGCGCCTTAGTTGCAGTAGGGATGTTAGGTTGTTTTGGTCCCGGACCTCAATGGGCACCTTGGAGGGTATCTACCGTCGGGGACCGGGGGTGATCGTGGAAGATGGGTCCGGGTGCTGGCTGGAGTTGGACTTCTTCTTAGGGCCGACGGCGGAGAGTTAACCGACGTGGAGGCTCATGTCGTATTGAATACAACAAACAAAAATAAACTTTACTGCTGCTAAAATGAATTACAGGAAGACAGTACAAATATTAAAAACTGTAACTAACTGCCGCGCACTGCTTACGTAGTTAAGCAGTTATGAAAACGGACGCCTCGGCGTCAAGTGTCCTCCCGCGCACGCTGAGGACGACTATGCCGTCCGGTCGGGGGTTATGACAGTGGGCCAAAACCTGTCTCATCCAATCAGGGTCTAGTTACGATCCCATTGGGTACAGGCCCCGACGCACTTTGAACCAATCGGACGGGCAGAACCACCCTCGCCAGGAGGCCAAAAGGTCAGCTCCCAAGGACAGGTCCCACGGCTAGAGCCCGAACATTGACACACGAGCCCCTGGTTCGTTTATGGTCGGAGAAAATAAACTCACTTTGATGATTCCAGCGAGAATCGCCAGAATGTGCCTCACGGGGAAAACCGTCCGTCGGAGCGTGAGCATTGGGTATACGTTAAAATCAATATAGATAAGCGGAGAACTTGCCAGGCACAACACACATGGGTCTCACGAACACGAGCGCAGCGAAAGATTACACCAGATTCCAAGAATACGGGAACCACCCCGGGTGGTTCGCCCGATACTGCGTCTTCGTTTGTGCGCATACCTCTGCCGCGCTCGGGAGCTCCGCAGCCAGCCCTCACAACCACTGGAACTTGATCCGCGGTCTAAAGCCGGTGTGGCCTGCGCACGCCCACGGCACTTCGTCTAGTTTACGAAACGGCCTCCCCGTTGACAGTTATGCTGGCTGTGTACTCAATCATTTTAGATACTTTCTTTTTTTAAAGCTAATTTAAAGCGCTTCGTGTCTAGATCTAATCATTGTTAACCCGTTTCGGTAGAGCTTTCGTAGTGAATTTCTACGAAACTATTCGTTCTCTTCGAACGCGAATGATAGTTTCATGCATTTGGACCGATCGACACTCGCCATGTGGGCGAGGCACTGTGAACCTGCGTTGGTAGCGCGAACCTATCTACCCGGAGTATTCAGATAACGCCAGTCGTCATTTGAACGCCCCATTTTCTACACTATCGGCGTCTATCTCGTACTGCCCGCGGGCGAACGACACGTTCTCGACGCGAAAGGAGGGCGTGGAAGCTCGCCTTTAATGCGCGTACCAGGAACGACTCTTTCTACGCGCCTCGTTTAAAAAATCCAATGTTTGCGAAACCGCAACCCAGCGTTCAATCTCCACAACCCAGGACGCCCGCGTTCCGCGACCAGAAAGCCCGAGGCATGCCAATGTTTTTAATGCTCCTCAAACTGTCAACTTTGGTTGCAAACGTCTTCCTTGAAACCCCGTTTTTTTGCTCTCTCCACTGTCGTTCTACCAAGCTTCATGGCACTGGGTGAAGAGATACAGAATGCACGGGGACCAATGAATAAACGGTCCTGCCAGTTTCTGTACTGACCGTGCCGTGGACTCGTGCATCTCGAGTTCCACCGTGAACTATTATAGCGTGAATTAACCATGCGTGAACACACGTGCTCTCCGTTGGAAGCTGCTTCCATTGCATGAAAGCGGTTCCGCACGCTGTGGTGTGTGATGTTGTACAGGCGTCATTAAACATCATCGCTGTTTTTTTTTTGTTGTTTTTTTTTTCAATGTTTTTTCTTTGGAAGAATGCTTCTTCGTCTCACTCGTGCCTTGTAAAGATGGCGGCTCTCAATCTCCTCCGCTCGCGCCAGTGCTCGCCAGCTATAGACTAGCACGCCATGAGGTCCTTCGAGTGTTTGTGATCGAGAGCTAAATATCAGGAAAGCAATTAGGTTGCTGTCGCACCTCTTCCTTCTCGAAGGGCGTAATTACGGAGAATTCTTTTGGTACCCGCTTCGGCGACGTCACCCGCGGACGACACTGGATAGGATTGAGCAACTTTCCCGACTGAAAAGGCGATCTTTCGGATTTGTCAACGGCGGCGTCAACGATGCTGTTTTTTTTTTTTCCAGAACTCTCTTTGAAGGAACAAGTTTCACTTGGCAACTCTCCATGTCACTCATGAGCGATTTGCCCCGAGGTAGACATGCTACAAATATGCTGCGCCTAGCGCTAACTCGAAAGGGGTTGTAACTGCGTGCCGAGTCGCCGAGCGCAAATGTCCAGGCTTGGTTGACGGAAGGAGACGGAATAAAATCACGCGAAGGTAAAAAAAAAATATAAAAAAAGGGCTAGGTATGCTGCGTACTCCGATTTGGGACGACGGAGTTTAGTTTCATCAGTAAATAAATGTAAAAAAAAAAAAGAAAAGTAAAGGGAAGAACTAAATTGTTATGCTTTCCGGGTAAGCGGTATGAGAAGCGAAAGCGCATCTTTTTTTTTTTTTTTTTATTGCGTCTGGGGATTCAAGGTCAGAGCGAATGCGAATTTAATTCCACATCCACACGGAAAACGGAGAAGAAAAAAAAAAGGGGGGGGGGGGTGAGGGGAAAAAAAAAAGAAAAAGAAAAACGAAGGCGAGGGATTTACCAAAACTGAGTAACGCCGCTTTATCGCGACCCACGTCCGACACAACGTAACCTTACACCACTTAATTATATGCACGAAGGTGATAAGAAGTGAGTCGAAGGCGTCGGTGCCGAGTGAACGGGAGGTGGGCTTTCCGACAACCGATATGTCTGGTCAGCCAAAGGCCGGCTGCCAGTTGCGGGCATTTCCTGAAACGTGGCCCTTGTCGATGCACTGGCGGGTAACGGAGTCCTACGTCATTCAAGGACGAGTGGCGTCCGTTCATCGAAACGTTTAACACTTGGACGAAAAAAAAAAAAGTTTCCGCGGCCCGACGTAACGCGGCGATTATCGTCATCCGTGGCAAGTACTCATATGGAAAGCTTTAACTGCCCCGCGTGACCGAACTGTCGGCCCATTTGCATTTAGGAAAGCTTTTTCTTTTCTTTCTTTTTTCCCGTAAGCGTGCAGGTTTTCTTGCTTGTAACTCATACAGGGTCTATAGATCAATCACGGCTACAAGCGACGCAACAATCGTGCTAGAAGGTGCCATCTATCACTGTTTCCGGCCCATGTTGCGAAAAAGAGGAAAAGAAAAGGCCCAACAAGTTCGAAAGAACTGTTGCTCCATCCTTTTTAAATTGTATTGTCACACTAAGTGGCGGCTTCGTGCACCTGACTGCATGAAACGAAGGTGATGC